AGTGCAGTTTCAAAATGCACTCACTGTGTATTACATGTGATTGCAGTCTGAAGCTAAAGACTGAAAGAGTAATTTAGGATGATGTGGAAACAGGTCTATTAGATTAGAACTTGCAAATACATTGTTAAAAATATCAGGTCCCTCCTCAGCTTGAAGTAGACAGTAGAAAATAGTTTCTTCTCACTCTCCCTTTTGGCCCATTTCTCTTTTTCATCATTTTGATTTTGGAGTGACGTCTGAACATGTCTAAACTATACACTGGCTAAATAAACACACAGCATCACTCCTAAGGGAAGTTATAAGGTCAGTGAACTTTCTAAGCCATATAAATATCAAATTAGTTTGGGATTCAAGAAAAATCTTTAGCCAAAATCTGCATAGTTTAGTTTTACTCTTAATTTGCACAGCAAAAATGTAGATCTAAAATGACAAACCAAGTAGACTCCTAAAAAAAAACAAAAAACCTGTTTTTTTTTTTGCAAATGAGCTTAGCATATTTAAATGAAGTCATTTATACCACTGTATGCATTTTTACTTGAGAGTTTGTGAATCAGTCAACCAATGAGTTAATTAGATCATCACTATACTTAATATATTCCATGTATGAAACTTTATTAATTACTCTGAAAAATAAGAAGAATAAATGAGAACAATTCAGTTATTAATGATTTAGTTTGGGAGGCTGAGGCAGGGAGATCAATTGAGGCCAGGAATTTGAAGCCAGCTTGGACAATATAGCAAGACCCCATCTTCACAAAAACATAAAAATACAAAAAAAAATGAGTTTGGTGTGGTGGTGTACACCAGTAGTCCCAGCAATTTAGGAGGCTGACATGGGAGGATCCCTTGAGCTCAAGAGTTTGAGGTTACAGTGAGCCATGATTGTGTCACCAGCCGGGTGACCAAACAAGACCATGTCTCTAAAAAAAAAAAATTGTCACATAATGCAAGATGTAATCCTACTTTTCTCCTTTCTCTTTATATAGACTGTTTCTTCATCCTGAATACTCTTTGTGTATTTTCATTAAAATCTACGCATTTACTAAATACCACCAAAAATGCCAATTCGCTTCAACTTCAAATGTTCCTCAATTTATTCCAGCATAAGATACCTGCACTTCTATTTTGATCATTAATCAGCGATCAAGGCTCACCTTATGCTTTAATTTTGTATGCTTATTTTATCAGACAACTTAATTGGTATCACTTGGAGGAAAGGGAATTTGTCTCACGTGTCTTTATATTTATTCCATGTGTGGCTTAGATCAGAGTTCTGCATGGAGTAGGCAAGGTATAACTTACTATTAAGTTACATTGAATTATTTGGTGACATTGTCCTGGTTCAGGCAGGTGGAATATCTCTTCTGAGCTATTATTGCTATCTCCCAACTCATCACTCTGCCACCAAACCAGCCTCATAGTGCTACCCAGGTCATTTTCGTAAATTTTAGTTGAGATTGATATCCTATTCCTGCAGAATAAACCTTTAGTATTCAAGGCTCTCTATCACCTAGTGATTCTTTTATCCTTCAGGGTTGTTATCACCACCTTAAGCCACTCCAAGTTTCTCCTCTGCTAAGATGTCAAAAATTAGATAAAACTCATCTGCTTGCCACTGTCAAAAAGTGGTTTTCTAGTTGCAAAAAGTTATCAAAGGCTGGGCTTGGTGATGCACACCTGTAATCTTGGCACTTTGGGAGGCTGAGGCAGGAGGATTCCTTGAGCCCAGGAGTTTGAGACAAGCATGGGCAATGTAGTGAGACTTTGTCTCAATAAGAAAAATTTAAAAATTAGCTGGATATGGTAGCGTGTAGCTGTAGTCCCAGCTACTCGGGAGGCTGAGGTGGAAGGATTGCGTGAGCCCAGGAAGTCAAGGTGTAGTGAGCCATGTTTGTGCTACTGCACACCAGCCTGGATGAGAGAGTGAGACCCCTAATTCAAGGAAAAAAAGGCAACAAGGCCAAATCTGGGGACTGTCTGTACGTGTCAAAGCTCACATTCAATAGTGGCAACACTGTAAAGTCAGAATAATTTCCTTAGCTGCAATTTTGGGCTAACATAGGAAAACAAAGAAATAGTTTAGCACAGAGCAAGCACCACCTATCCAAATACACAATACACTGCTATGCATCACACCTCTCATAAGACAGAGGAATTCACAATCCTTTCATGCATGCTCCAGTCCCACAAAGTGAGAATCATTACCACACACGACTAAATATTGTGGTTAAAGACCTGTTTCCTGTGAAACTTTGAGTGATTGCTTTCAGTAATTTTAGAGAAACCCATTTATTGCCTCCTTCCACTCACATGACAGAAAACATTCACTTTTTTACTTTTTTCAGGGCAACTGTATAAAATGAATGTATTCTGAAATATTCTTGGACTGAAAATATGTGAACAAAGAAATATTATCAAAACGAATGAACTGTGGATCCTCATATGTGAACTCTGGGAAACTGGAACACGAAGTAATATTTATTTGTAGAGTTATGTGGTTTCTAATCTTAAATCTATTTCATTGTGTTCCACACTGAAGAATATTGAAAAATATCACCTGAATAAAGCCTGTGTTTTTAGCAGCCCTGAACTTCAAAATTTTTGTTTTTTGGTACTATAATCTGACTACTCCTATTAAAGTCTGAAAGTTATAAGAAACCATACCTAGCAAGAGGTATATATTTTTTTTTCCAAAAAAAAAAATATAAAGTTCTAGAGATATTTTCAGACATTCGAGCCAGTGGGGTTTTGAAAACCTCATCCTTATTTCCTTGTTTCATAAAAATTTGTCTACAAAATGTTTCAATATTCATTCATTCATTCATTTTCAACAGTTATTTAGACAGCTCCTGTTGTATACCAGGCATTGTGCAAGGTGTTGGGATTCAGTGGTGAGCAGATGACAAAGGGTCCTCAATTGTGGCACCCACAATCTAGTAGAGGAAGACATACAATTATCAAATAATCATACAAATTAATGAGAACTTGTAACTCTATTAAGTGCTCTAAATTAGAGAACTGGTGCTATGAGAACATACAAAAAGGGATCTGACCTAGGTAATGAGGTCAGGGAAGGCTTCCCTGATGAAGTGGAAATTACATTGATACGTGAATGAGTAAGAGCTAAAATTGAATTCCATGCAGAAGAACTATTAGGTGCAAAGGCCTGTGAGGCCAGTGGGCATGGCACCTGCAAGGGAATGAAAGGACAGTGTGGCTTAGTAGAAAGAATTGGGGAAAATATGGTGGAGACAAAAAAAAAAAATGTAGCAATTGGAACAAAAGAAGGGGTCAAGCTATACAGGTGTTAGACCATATTAAGGATGTTGCTTTATCCTAATTATTTGGAAAAACCTGTCAGAGGTTTATAAGCAATAAGAGACAAGATCAGATTTGTCTTGAGGAGATCACTGGGGTTTAAAAGCAGAGAACACAGAGTGATGGGGGGAGATGTGTTGAGACTTTTGCAGCCATCCAGGCATTAGATGGTGGCAACTTTGATCAAGGTGGTGACAGAGGTTAGGACCGATTTAAGTAAAATACACAGAAGTTGGTGACAAATTGGATGACATATGACATTACTCCTGAATTCTTCTGTTGGCCAAAATCCTTCCAAAGTAAGGATTATACAGACCTGATATACTTATTATTATCCAAAGAATAAAAATGACTCTTTCAGTGATCCTTTCAGATTCATTTGTTTAATAAACATGGAACATCTATTATTTTATTTTGGCGACTGGTGATATAGAAGTGGACAAGACAAGTCTCTCATGGAGTTTGTGCCTGTTGGTGTCAGAAATTCTGGTTAAGGTAAAAATTATTGCAACCACAATGGAGACAGTATTTTAAATTATTGGCAAATCAGAAAAATATGCTTTTTGGTACTGGATTTTTTTTTTTTTTTTTGAGTCAGGATTTCAGTCATCCAGATTGGAGTGTAGTAGCATGATCATCGTTCAGCATAGCATCAAACTCCTGGACTGAATGATCCTCTCTCCTCAGCCTCCCAAGTAGCTGGGACTACATGTGTGTGACACCACACCTGGCTTGGAACTTTATGATTTCTAAAGTTCCGTATTACTTTACAGAAACCAAAGAAGCAGGCAGGCAGGGAGATGTAAAATAAGGAGCCAGGGAAGACAATGGAACCCCTAAGGTCACAAAGCTATGAGAAGTCATTACTAGGGCTCAGGTCTCCCAACTCTAAGAACAAGGTTCTCCTTTTTTTTTTTTTTTTTAATTAAAATCATAATCAAGGCCCTTGAAAAAAGTAGCCTGTTGAAGGAAAGGGTATTCCTTTAATTAGCTAGTTTGAAAAGTAACAGATTCAAGGACTTCCTCCCTCAACTAGGAAAAAAGCACATTTCTGGATTTAAATGTAAGAAACAAAAATGCACTTGTTGCCTTATCATTACCTAATGTAATCAGATTTTTTCATTGGCCAAATGAAGGCAGCTGAATCACAACATTCTGAGATTTTGTACTGATCCATCATGAAAAGGAATGATGTCAGGTATGTATCTTGGAAGCTCATGCCAGTACCTGTGGGGAGCTTGGAACCAAGGGAAAGAAAATAAAGTTAGGCCTGTATTCACCTTATTGGGTTTCTTTCAATTTCACAAGCTTAGCAATGTGAATAATTTTGGTGCTTGTCTCCATCACTTTTTTCTATTTAGTTGTCTTTAGTAAATACAGAGGGCAAAGGTCAATGTACTTTAATTTTCATGAACAACTGGCTTTATTTTGATTTTTATAAGGTTATCTCAGCTTAAATCCAGGGTGGTTCTAAGGATGTGATTTGATTTTCTTAGGCCTACATAATGCTTGTAGGTTAAAAATAAAAGAACTGTCTGCAACCATCAGGTCTTTGGTCTGAGGATTTAATTATCACTGGGAAGGCACAATAACTCCAACTCTTTTTTACTATAAGTTTTCCTTTGTATATGCTGTATTTCCAATTATCAAAAATCAAAATCAAATCACATCTAGACTTCAAGTGTTCAATGACATTATTTATCAAAATAAATTTATTAAAAGTATTTGAAGACCACTTCAAAGTGTAGCTGCCTTCAAGACAGATTTTGGCACTCATGACGGACATTGTAGTTTTCTACACAACAGCATTCGTACTATTTCATACACCATTGAACAATGCAAACACAGACCATTTCAGTTTCAACATTACATGAGACAACAGTACTGACAACCTGTGGTCATAAGAACTTCAATATCCTTGTACACAGTAAGCACTGTAATGTTAATGAGCACTAAGAAAAAACTAAAACTAAAACCACTATGTGGTAACATTGATGGACTTAGGGAAAGATGTCCAACCAGCTAGCGAAGGCCACAATCCCAGATCTACTGATTTTAAGTGCTTTCGGACCAACACTATTACACTGTTTTTCATCATCTCCCATGGCTGTATTTTCACCGGAGACATCACATCTGGGCCATGTACTCCCTTCTTGTGTTCTATACACAGTGAGGGAAGCTGTTCTGATACAAGCCTCTCCTCGACAGTTACTGGCTTCCTGATTCACTACCCAACTTCAAGTCAATAGTTCTGAGTGATGCTTCCTAAATACCCAGGCTGAATTCAAGGTCAGTCTTCCTGTCAGGTCCCAGCCTTTCTTTTTCATAGGAAAAAGGACGAAATGTCTGGTTTGGAGGAATCCTTTTTCATCTCAACTAGCATGGGGCTCTGTGGTGATCTGTGGCTTTTTACACAAGTCCTGGTAGAATTCTGACTCCAAGAAACGGGGATAGGAGTTGTTTTCCATCAAGCTGTACACTCTTTTCTGGGCAGTTGTAAAGCAGCCACTTGTAGCCTCTTGTATATTTTGGGCAATCAGAGTTTTGGTTTGAAAGTCTATGTTTATCTGAAATAAAACAAAAAAAAGTGGTTTAATTCAAAATTCAGAGTCACAGTCCTGTGTGATTAGCTTTGCCAGTCAAGTCACGAGAGAAACTTAACATAACTAAAACCTACAATGGAGTATTTGGGGGACCCCTGTAACCCTCCCAGCCCCACTATGTCTTCTCTCTTCAATTCTTTTGTTTCATTTTGTTGCTAAAACTCTCCAAATTATACTGAAATAAGGAATTTTTTTTTTATTTTTACCTCTTTTGGTGCTTCCTTTTCTATAAAGTCAGTATATATTTTCCTTGCTTTTGAGGACAGCTTTTGGGGTGATTTGGTTTTTTTGAAGTCTTCACAGGCCAGCCAGAATTCAATATTTTCCTCACAGAATTCAGACTTTAAAAAAGCCCTGAATGCAGCAAGACCATCTGAAATAGGGAGAAAAAAGGCATGAATTGAGTGATCAAGTAAGCCCTGTTTCTCTAGTACTTCTCCCTCATATTTTAATTATTTCTAAATGATAGCAATTTTCTAGATTTTGTCCAAACTTGTAATTCTCAAAATTTAGCTCTTTAAAAATTAAGGTGCAAATAGGCAAAATGTTTTAAGGTGGCACTCTGCTACAAAAATATAACTGCTCAACTCTGCTGTCAATGCAAAATAAATACTTAAAGTGGAGCCAAAAATTCTCCGGGAACTAAGCCTCTTGAAAACATTGTATGCAATGGAAAAAACTGACTCAACGCTAACTATGGCAAATGCACTTTAATTTTTTTAGGCTAATTTTTCTTCCTCACCTGGAATGAATAGTACATACATTTCCACGGTTAAACACTGGGAGATAAGGAGGGAAAAACAGGCCTTTTACTATAGTGATTGCAGTCTAATTCCCCTCAGGGATGCTACTCTTTTGTTGTGTAGACACATTTCCAGGTTTTTGTGATAATAGCAATGGCTCAGATTCAAAAGTTAACTTACATTTACTGGCTAGCAGCTCATCAAATGCTTCTGACCACAGCTGTGCTTCCTCAGGAGATGGTCTGCAAGACAAGTTGTGCACATTAGCTTATGCTCATCAGAGTTCCCCTTTCAGTTCAGTAGCTAACTATTCATATTCAGGATTCTTAACTTACTTGATGAAAGTTTGCTGTTTGCTTTTCTTGCCGGTTTGGGGCTTCCCAGGAGTGGAGGAATTTTGCAAGAAGTAGCTCAAACGGGTCTTCCAATCTTTTAAACTATAATTAAAAAAAATATATATGGTATTTGCAAAGTGGCAACATTTGAATAAGCTACTACAACTGGACAAATTTTTACCAAATAAAGTCACCCAGTTAGCTAGAGACAAAGCAGGAACTCTCCAACTCATAGTCTTACTTATTTAACATTTAACTCCTGTACCTAATGCACTGAACAATTTCATCCATTCATCTGGAGCTAAAACTATTCGTATTACCACTAAGGGTACGACTACCTAAAATCACTAGGTTATTTTAATGAATTGCTAATGAATTTAGTTTAGATGCTATTTCTGGCCCACAAAGGGTAGCAGTTCCTTTGCAAGGTCAATTACAATTCATATATTTCCCACTTAATGAAAACGACATCAGGGGAACTGCCTTGAGGCAGCCCATGCTCATTTCTCTTCTTCCCTTAAGAGGCTCTGGACCACGCAAGAGACTGTGTACAATGAGTTGTGTGTGTGATTGATCTCCCTGCGCTCCCCACTTCCCCACCTACAGTACTCCTTTTAAGCAGATGCTGCAGAACAATTGTTCCACATTCGAGACTGGTTGAGATCTGCTTTAAATTTCTCCATCCAGCAGCTGAGCAAACCGATCAGAACTCATCACGCAGCGTATGAATGCTGGGGACGCGCTTCAGCTGCAGGATTCTGATGTCATTTTAAATGCAGGGGGACAAAAAAACCAACCTGCAATTTCTTAGCGCATCTACCACTGCTCTTATATCAAGAAATTTGCTCAGCTACCAAACTCTATCCGAGCGTCCTTCCCTCACAAAATAAGTCCATACCACACAGATTTAACCTTACTTAGCAAATTAACCTTTTCCCATATTTTTTCTTTTCCTGCGGAGACGCAGGCCACATAGTTTTCCAACGTCCAAGACGAGCCCGAAAGTACCGCGTTTGCAGCAAACCAAGAGTGCAGGGGTTGGCTGGGAGTCTCGGGAGAGAGAAGAAAGCCGTACTCACAGGGTCCGTTTCATCTTTTCTCGCTTCTCCTCGCCCTTGGGGCCGCTGCCTGCGCTCTTGTCCATGGGTCCGCAGTCGTGCTGAACAGCCAGGAACATGGCACTTTGCATCACCCACCCGCTTCCTACTGGGGCAGCCGCTCTTTGCCGCCCGGCGCGCGCCACGGCATTTATAAGAGGCTGCGGCTCGGGGGCGGGGCCCCGCGGCGCCGGCCCCGCCTCCAGTGGGCGCGGATTGGCCGGCTGTTGAAGGCACGGAGACCCGGCCGCTGCCTTCCTGCGGCGGTCACGGCCGCCGCGGAAGGGTCTCGAAGCCAGGGCGTTGCTGACGTCTGAGGCCCGGCGTCTTGCGCACTGCGGCCGCATCTTTGCGGCGGGGGGGGGCGGGGGGGG